TGATATTTTTATATTGTAACAATTAATACTAGATATTTTTATATTGTAACAATTAATACTAGATATTTTTAAGTGAAAAACTATAAGAGAAAAGAGTCTTTGAGACTGAAACTAAAAGAATAATCAGATATTATTAAACATGTTACGGTTGTATTTCTTTGGTTATATTAATAAAGTTTGAACATTTATATATTAGGTAATATTGAAAAAAAATAATTCATTATTTATATTATCACTCACGCTGGTTTAAACAGTGCAATCTAATTATTGTATAATATATGGTATGTATAAACAACATCACTAGTAATATGATGGTAAAATGAATATAATGAAAAAAAAAGTGTTTTTCTAATTTTTTCCGCACGTTCTGGAAGAATTCGTTGAAACGTTACGTAATCTCTGTTGCTGTTCGCAAACATATATTAATCATGCTTTAACTGTTTCGGATTTGCATAAAAAAAAAGGTAAATAAACAGCCATTAGTAACAACTGGCAAGCATACAAATCCAATGGAATATATATATATATATTCTGTTGTGGTGTATTACCAAAACAAGAACACTTCACGCGCCTAAAGATACCCTGTAATCACAAACGAAAAATCTATTTTATCGGGATAAAAAGGTGGGAATGAGAACATAATTGCTACTCAGGTTTTGACAAATATGTATGCTATACATTTTTCGTTGGTTATATTTAGCTGAAAAAAATAAACAGAAAATTCACAAAGTTAACTTACGTTATCTAAACTCCGCATGTATACATAAAATAGCTCTTGGGCGAATATCCACATTTCTGTGTCAAACTGTACTGGTAAAACAGCAGGTCTCTGACCTCAAAATAAAACACAGAAATATTAAAAACATTACAACAGAAATAAAATAATATGTTGAGTAGAAAATAAAAACTCAAAAGTTAAACAAAAATAAAGTAAATGGATAGAAGGAAAAATATTAAAGGACGTGGAAATAAGTTAAATGAGAATAGAGAAATTTAGTAAGTCGAATAAAATGGACAAAGAGAATAATTTTAATAGAAATGGAGAAATTTAGTAAGTCGTTTGTTTGTTTGTTTTGG